CGTTATCGTTTATATCATCTGCATGTAAAAATTATTGCGTCGAGGGTGCAATCACTGATGGAGGTGCCTATAAAAATAACATAAACTGTCCTCCATTCAATTTCCCACTGAGCAAGGCGTTACTTATTCAACCATCTCATGAAAAATTCAGAATGGAACATGACGAAATTCATATTTATGCCATCGACGATGAATTAAAAAAGATAGTAGACAGATATGACCAAGCATGTCGTTCATAAACGATCTAGAAGTATATAATGACGTAGTTCTTGCCTTTTTAAAGATTACATCATCAATCTTCGAAATCACCCATTGTTCTAAAATCGATAACAATATCTAATTAAAAGTTATTTTTACTATCTGTCAAAATGAAATATGATCAGCGAATATGTCAAGTTCATACATGTAATACTTGAAACTTGAATTCAAGTATTCAATTATTGAATAGTTGAAATTTCAACTATTCAACTATTCAAATTTTAACTTCTAAAGTGTTTGGCGGATACTCAGTGGGAAAGCGCGTTTCCCTACCTAACACACCTTTTATTTCAGCGTCGCGGCGTGGGGGCGCGAAGCGCCCCCCGAAGAGCCGCGACCCATGCACGTCTATGTGTACACCGTTATTCCTACTCAGTGCTACATAGTAGCTCAGGCTTCTCACACACTTCTTGTAGCATCCTAGAGGATGCTTGTAGCATCATAGGTGATACCTGTAGCATCATCGGTGATGCCTATAGCATCCTATGGAATGCTTGTAGCATCATAGGTGATGCTTGTGTCATTCTAGGGGATGTCTGAGGCATCTCAGACAATACCTGTCGATGTTAGATGATTCTGGTGGTATTCCAGACGTTGAATACTTGAATAGTTGAACACTTGAATAGTTGAACTGATAGTTGAATACTTGAATAGTTGAACTGATTGTTGAACACTTGAAAGTTGAACTGATAGTTGAATACTTGAATTCAACTTTCAAGTTTGACACTACTGTGTTTTTAGTGAGAAATGGGGTGAAAAAAGTTTAATTACTTTAGAAACTATTGTTTGAAATTATCAAATTGAATATTTATGTAAAGATGATCCAGAAGAATTAATTTTAATCATGTGTAGTAATGAATGGAAAGCACGTGAATGTCAATTAACATGACAAGTTTTAAGAAAAGAATGGGATAAAAAACTTTTTGAAAAATCAAATAATCAGTATCATGTTTATTTTTATTTTCTCTTTTAATTAATTATTTTATTTAAAAAAAATTCTTCGGATCTGTTTTAATTAGATTTTATCGAATGATGAAACCTAATTGATATTAATTTACTCTTGACAGATTTGAGGGTGTGAGTGTGGGTTTTAGTCTTCATCTTGCCCACATTCATACCTTCATAAAGAAAAATCCACGTGGAAACAAAGATCGTATTCAAAATTGAAGTCTTGAAAACTCATATTCAATTGTGAATAAGCTATTTGTTAAAGATGAACATTGACCATTTCTCTCTCGCAATAGATTGAAAAGAGAATCGATTGTGCTATTTGATAATTGAATGATGATGAGGAATCTTTATCGGTTCTGAACGATGTGTCAACCAAAAGAGAAAACCATTGAGAAAGTGTCAACAAAATGGGCGTTCATTAAGATGCCGATTAAAGAACATTTTCTGCAAATAAACATCAGAAGAAACGATTAGAACTGGCTGAGAATAAGATTTCGTCACTGAAATTGTTCAAGATGCATTTCTTGTTTTTGAATTTCTCATTGTCGATCGAGTGTTGAAGTGACCAAGATGAATTCGAAAGATTTCTGATGAAGATTATTTCATTTTCACATTGTTCATTATTACATTTTCGATCGTTGTCTGTGAAACTATGTTGATTGTTTAGAACGGTTGAATAATCCGACAATCGAAAATGAAAGATGATCGATTATCAGTGATGTTCAATGTTTGTTGGTCATTGAATTGAACATATCCACAGGGAGAAAAGAATGTTACATTGGATTCTAAAGATATTCAAAGGAAAGGAACTCATTCATCTTAGATTTAATTGATTCGATTTTCTTTTCGTCAACGATTTTGTCGTGAGAAGATGATTGAACAATTCGAAGACAAGTTATTTCGATGAGAATCGGTTTTCTATTGATTAATTTCGAACGATACTCGAATATGTTAAACTAATTTCAATCGTTGAGTAACTTTTATAACGCTTGATTCAGAATATCTCCAAGTGTCTGTAATAGTAAAATCGAACGGATTTTTATTTGTAAAATTTGTTTATATGAATGAAGGACATTTGTCGAGCTGAATTAGACAATGAGATTTCTTAGAAAAACGAATTAAAAAAATTTTCTATGAAGAAAATACTTGAAAATGAAGCTCTATCGAAACATAACTCATGTACATAGGATATTGAAATCAAAACCATCTACAATAATTTCAAGGTTCTACAATTGCATACGATTGTTTTTATTTATTCTTCATCGATTATAATTGGTTAACCATATTCAATGACATATGCCTCACTCATATCAACCATTTTATGAGTTTGACTATGTCTTCAATAAAATTTACTGTAAAGGAATTTTCATTGACATCAACTATACACGTTGGATATGAGACAATGATTCTTCTCCTCTCACAGCTAGTGATCGGCTGCATGAGAGATTCCAGTGAAAAAAGTCCTGTAGACCGATTTACGATCAAGTGTGATTCCTTCCTTTGTTTGAGAAGATAAAATTATTATCTGGAAAATCAAACCAAAGAACAATCAATCTGATTTCTCTAACATCTTTTTTGTTCTTCTTTTGAATTTTAATCATCATTGATAATTAAAAAAATGTAAAAAAAAGATAAAGGTAAATTTAATATAGAATTTAGAGTGAAAAGTCGAAATATCATCAATTCAAAAATTTTGCGCTCATATTTGATTATTATTATTATGATTTCTTTGAAATCAAAACAATCAATTTTACACTCACTTCTTCATCCTGATAAAATCCAGAACAAGAATTTACAATCTACGAAAGATCTATCAACTATCATTTCTAACAGTACAATCAAACATTTAGAACCTGTTTTTCTAAATGTCTATGATCTACTTTCCGAACATCGAACAGTTAATTATTTATTCAAATATTGTGCTTGTCATTTTCTTGGTGCTTATCATACCGTTAGTTAAATCTTAATGAAATTTCATAATCAATAAATAATTTCTATAGAGTGTACAAATATATAATGTTGAATATTATTTTGGTGATGGTATTTGTAAATCTCGACCTTATTCTCATTTAGGTAGATTAATTTTATCGAAAAAAATGGGTATGACTGAAATGACACAAGATGAAATTGAAACAAAAATTCTATTTGATATGTATGATAAATTTACTCGAAAAGATTGTAAGAATATATATTTCATTTAAATATAAAAGATTAATTTCTTTCAATAGATGATTTACTTCAACATAATTGTAATCATTTTACAGATGTTTTTCTTGATCGTCTACTTGGTATTCATTTACCAATGCGATTTAATCGAACAGAACGATGTATTATTGCTACACCATGTTGTACTCGAACATTAAATGGTATCTTTGGTAATGATTGGACTCGACCACTAATTGGAATCAAGTCAAATTCAAATTTAGAACAAAAAACATGTTGTCATCGAGAGATCAAAAAAAGGTAGTACATTCTCGAAGATTAACCAGACTATCAAATGATTGATTGTGCTCGACAAGATCATTTTATCATTGTCAATGAAATTCTTTTCTGAATAAGTTAGTTGTGATTTTGTTTGTAATACTATTTACAATTGTATTCAAATTTTATATTTAAACTTATTAAAACAAGCTGTTTGATTTATCCCTTTTCATCATGAATGTCTTACTCATTGAATTATTCGAACATAGCTCTAGCAAGAGTACAATGCATTCTTTGCAAGACATTGAGTATACAAAATATTCAGAGTCCATTCAAATTATTAAAAAATTCCTTTTTTAATCTGATATGCAAACAAAATCTTTGTTTAAAGTATTTGTTTGTCATTCAATTGTTAATTATCTGATCAAATGAAATTTTTTCTTCGAATAACATATGATCTTGAGTCATATTGTATTTTTGATCCTTTTTTCTTACTCGAACAAGTTATTCAAACAAAACTTTAAATTCACATCATTTTCAATGAAGAGTTCAACATGTTCAAATATAACCATAATATTCATCATTCAGATCGTTAATCATCAATATTCTCATCATCTACAACTTAGCTTCCTGTCAATCAACATTTATAAATAGATTATTTGCTGAATTTATCTATTTCCTTAGCATTTAAAGGTCATAGAATTATGAAGATAAACTACATAATATTGATTTACTAGAAATAATAGAAAAAAATTCTAGTAGATACTATTCGTAAGTCAAATATATTCATCGATTAGATAGCAAACATTAAATATTTTTTCGAATAACTGGAATACAATCTTAATATAAAATTATTCATTTGTTCTTTGATCAGAGGTTTGTTTTCATCTTTCTATTTCCCTATTTTTTTAATTGATTTTTTCACTTGCTTGTGCTTGAAACTTTTGCCTTTTTTTTGTAATATTTATCTTAATAATGACGCAAACGTTCCTGGAAAAAAAATTGCTTTATTTTTCATTGGCTAAAACGCACTTTAGAAAAATTAAAAACATCTAATCAAAATATATGTTGAAATGTCTGAAAATCCAATGAAATGAACATGAATAAGTTACGAAAATCTGTGCGGGTAACTATATCAAGCTGTTTTTACAAAGTACATTTTAGTACTATTCGAAACTTAGTCCAATAATAAAGCAAAATTATTCCAGAAACTTTTGTATCATATATTATTAGCATCGTATAAGTTTATACATAAACGCGGAAACTATTGTTGATGTATTCTATCAATTATAAAAAAACTATTTTATTATTTCTATTACTGTAACAATTATATCAACAAAAATATTGAAATTATGATAGTCATCATTAATCTGTTGATATTATAGAATTATTCGTAATATTTGAAATTTGTTTGTTTTTTTTGATTTTTTCTTAGTATATTATTAACATAATCTCTAATTAAAATTGATATATATATATTATTATGCATGCATGCTACTATCATTATTGTTACGATTGCAAGTGATGTACACATAAAATAATGACGTGACAATGTGCACGAGAGAAATTCTTGATACAGATATAGTTTTTGTATAATAGTTTGATGAAAGTTACTATATTATGACTGATAAGAATGAACATATGAGTGCGTATATAATTCATAAGAAAGTAAGAAACATTGTCTTTGTCATTATCTTCTCTCCGGCTTCTATGCTTTCATAATCATCGTATTAATTTTCCACTTCTTCATATATATATATATGTTGTCATTCTCAACAGTAATCTTGGTTCGACCATTGATGATCTTGTCTACTAACGAAGACAAGTAGTACAAGACGATGGAAAGATATGAAGACAAAGTCGAAGAAGAACAAGAAAAGAAGAAAAAAATAAGTAATTTTATCGCAGTTTTTTTTTGCTTTAGACAAGACACAGAAGAAGAATATATCTCTTATTTTAGACAGCAATAACTCTCTTCTAGGCATGTTGTATATCCAAGATTTCAGTATATTCTTTTGCTTATTAAAAATAACACTATCATCAGACATCGTTTTTAATTTTTTTTTCTTCTCTTACAAACGAAACAGGATATATTATTTTTTAATAGATAAAACTATTCGCATAGAACATTTGTTATTATCACTCAATTATTCTTTCTATCGAAATAACGAACTGCTATCAATAGAGTGAAATCAAACGCCAATACTCATTAGTGTCTGTTACGTTTGAGTTTTATTTACTTACTCTTTACGCACACACACACATACACATTTGGACAGATAAATAAAACAAAAGAGAAATATTTTTTTTTTAAATTTTACATTTGACAAAGTATACAAAAAAAAAATAATTATGGATAACAATTATGATAGAATAGGAAAAGAACGTCATCAACAACATCGATCTACTGTTTTTAAACTTCTTCGACGACGTCGAAATCAATCAATGGTATCATCATCATCATCACGAATAATTGATCAAAAAAATAAAAATCATGATTCATTTATGAATCAAGCAAAAAATAATAACAAACGAAGTAAGTTGAATATATTGAAAAATTATATTAATGAAAAGAAAAGAAACAAAAAAAAAGAAGTTAATTATGCATGATTTTGTATACTTGAGTAACGTTTTCTTAGTATATTTTCTTTTTTTGACATTTGTTTTGTAATTATACTTATATGACAGAACCTTGGAAATAGCATTTGCTAATCTTGTGATGTAATCCAAAAGTTCTATTGAAAAGAAACAATATTAATTATTAGCATTACTTATTTTCGATTGAGTAAACTTGATGAGTTATGCCTGTAGAAGCAATATAGAATTTTATTTATCTATAAATATTTGAAGAAAAACTAAATTATTATATACTTCCATGAGAAAACCAGCTACTAACATTTATCTATTTACCATATAAGTGATACAATATATTGTCTATAATGTTTTTGATAATTACTCATTATTCAAACAATATGGATATTGTATTAGCTAGCAAATCGATCTTATTGCTGTCACTAGCTTTCTTCCATCGAATTATTAATAACAAGCCGTTAATACAGCAATCTGAATATACTGATAAGTTTTAGATAGATAAAATAATTCAACATGTTTTTTTGGACAAATATTGTAAAAAAAAACATATATACAAATTAATCGTAAACAGTTGATATTACAACAAGAAAGAGATAATTGCATTCTTTTCAATAAACATGAGTATCATTTGTTCTATAATCCTTCTTTATTTGTCAGTATTATATGGTATGTTTTCATATCTATAATAGCCTTCTATTTGTACATGAAAGTAGTCTTAGATATTTTGTTTATTTATCAATCTTCATTTGTCAAATTTTGTTTTTTCTAGAATCGGTACATGTATTTGACATTACTAATACATGTAATAGTTCTAGCAACAATGCACGACTTACGTTGGATTGGTCATCAGCAAATGTAACTACAGGTATAATTTAATATTCTTTTTATCTCAGTACAAGAGCCTCCGTTTTTTTTCTCTTGTGCTCTCTCTTTCACATTATCAACAACTAACAATAATGATAGTGTGATGGCAAGTTGTTTTTGTCTAAATAACCGTGCTAATTCAATTGTATGATGCAATCATTGGAGGAGCAAAGTGATTGTTTTTTTCTTTTTCCTATTTGTGCGTTGATGTATTCTAGCTATTGCCATTAATTTGTTTCGGATACAAAATGACACTTATTACTTCTATAGCTAGCTTCACACAATAACAAAAAATTGTCTTATATTGTTGCGCTTGATGATTACTCATTTTACATCAGTCTAAACGGTCGTTTAGGCATTTCTCTAGAGATAAAGAAGAGAAGTATTAAGGCAACGTTTTTTCGAACAAAGCTATGTTGTCTAAGTTTGACTATCATTATCATCTTTATAATAGATGAATAGCAGTCGACAATACTCATCATCTTAAAGAAATTCTTCTTTTATTATCAATAGTTTCTTTCATATAATAACGAAAAAAAAAAAAAAACGTTATTAACTGTTTCCCATTAAAAGAAAACAGAAAAGTTTATGTTCAATTAATGTAATTTTTCTTTTTTCTTTTTCCTTTTTTTTTTTTTTTATTGAAAGCAATATTCAATTTATATTGCTCATGATTTTTTGTAACAAAAAGAAAAGTTTCGATGACCAAGAATTTTTAGTAATTTGATCAGACTATATTATCTTTAATAGCAAACATAAAACTTTAAAAGAAAAGAAAGACAGTTGCTTCTGCTCTTTTCTTTCTCCCATGATAACATTCTAATGAATGCTTTAGACAATCTTTAGTATTCATTGTTACATATTATTGTAATGGTGTAAGTGGTTCATCCACTTCATTTTTATAATAGATCAAGAGAACGAGAAAACAAACGAAAGTGGATATGAATCAGTATCGATTAATTTCTAAAGTGCAGTGTCATATAGCTAATATGTAGTTATCTGATTCTAGGAATGTTCTACATAAGTATAAAAGTGAAAGAATGAGTTATGAGATCTGATAAAAACTTCTTTTTTTTTTTCGATGAAGTTTTTTATGTCATATATCGACTTATAACGAGTAAAAAAAATATATTCTGTAAAAATACTAAAGGTTACTTTTCTTATCATTATTTTGATAAAATTAATTTAAAAGAAACCAAAAAAACATTCGTTATATTTTTCCCATAACGATCTATTTTATCTTCATTGGTATTGAAATTAATATTGTATAATATTTTTATTAACAGGTTCTATTTTTCTCATTAAATGTATTCATATACATTTTCTAAATTGATTCCTTTGTTGTTATTTATTATTATTTTTTTTTTGGAGATGCTGATGAGGGTCAAATCATATATAGAATAGTTAGTTGAAGAAAAGGACTTCATTAGATAGATGATAAATTTAGTTGATGCGTTTTATTTTTTGAAAAGTTTTCTTTTAATAAAATATATTTATTAATTTTAGCGACTATGGATAATAAACATTATTTTGGTCTTTATTTAATACGAATTAAACATAGTCTGGTTCTATTTTCATTATTATTAACTGCTTTCCAAAGTCTGGTTTACTTATTATTGGCATTTTTTTCTAGCAGAGTAAACAATTATATTTTTTCATTATATATATATATAACTATGTAATTTTCTTTTTTCAAATTACAATCTATTTATAGTCTAATTTGGCTCAATTCATTTTTGAAATAATTCTTTTTTCTTGTGTTTTACTTCTATCAATAACATTAATTATGTTACTTCAACGTGAAAAATTTCTTCATGCTCATGTATATATATCATGTTTATCAATATGGTTATTATTAACATTATTTTCTACTATACCTATACTTTTACAACAATATACATCAGTTATTCGTTTAATGGGTATTGTTACATTTTCAATAATAACTATACATACAACATTACCTATTTCACGATCATGGACAGTTTTAATGGCTTCAATAACATCATTAATTCATTTAATACTTGTTATTCGTACACATCGTATTGATGATTTAAATAATAAATCTCATCGAATGGAATTTAAACTTAAAGTAAATTATCTTTTTTTTTTCTTTCATATTACGTCAAAAATAATAATCTTTAATCATTTATCTATGCTAAAAAATAAAATTTTTCTCCATATTTTAAATTGTCTTTTTCTAGGTTATATGTTTATCATTATTTTTTGTTGCATGCAATTTATTTGGATTATGTCATCGATATTTGACAGATGCACATCAAAAGAAAACATATCAAAATACAATGCGTTGTATAGAAGCTCGTTTAAGACTTGAACGTGAAAAGGAACAACAAGAAACATTAATTCTTAGTGTTATTCCAGCACATATTGGTATAATGAAAAATTGAAAATTTTATATATTTTTTTTTGTTTTCATTAATAGCATTAACTATGAAATCGGAAATGTTACGTAAAGTAAAAGAAACAGCTAAATATCATAATCTTCAATCAAGAGATGATGATCAAAGATCACATACAAAAAAAATTAGTGTACGAAAAGCAACATTTCATGATTTATATATAAAAAAACATGAAAATGTTACGTAAGTTTGAATATTTATATTTTTTAATATTATATATTAATTTTTGATTAATTAGAATTTTATATGCTGATATTGTGAATTTTACACCATTATCAGAAAAATTTACTCCACCAGAATTAGTACAAATTCTTAATAAACTTTTTGGAAAATTTGATCAATTAGCACAAGTACTATTTTTTAATAGATGAATTATTAGAAAGTTTCTTTTATATTTAGGAATGTGATTGTATGCGAATAAAAATTCTTGGTGATTGTTATTATTGTGTTAGTGGTTTACCAATAAGTCGACCTAATCATGCATCAAATTGTGTTCGAATGGGTTTAAAAATGATTGACGATATCAAGTATGTTATTTTCTTTATTGATTGATTTAGAACGATTTGTTTTTTTTTTTTGTATTATTAATATTCTTATTTAGATTAGTACGAGAAGCAACTGGTGTAAATGTTGATATGCGTATTGGAATACACACAGGACGAGTTTTATGTGGAGTATTAGGTCTTAAAAAATGGCAATATGACATATGGTCGGATGATGTTACATTAGCTAATCATATTGAAGCGGGTGGTGTACCAGGGTTAGTTATATAAAATAGAAAACTTTTGTGTATAGAATAAATAAACAATAAGAAGGAAATTTGATTAAATAGAATATTATGTTGTTAATCAAGTGAATTGAATAAGAAAAATTGATAATAAATTGTCAAAGTCGAAAGTATTTCAATTGAAATTTAAAAATCTAACAGACAATTATCGAAAATTAGGATAGAATTTTGTCTAAAACTTCTTATTTATGAATGCAAAAAATACATGAGTCATTTCAGGAAAAAACGAAACGTATCTATCTTTCATTTGGCTTTGATTCTAAATAAGTATTTTTTAACAAGGACCTATGTAAAAATCTTGATTCTGTCAGTTGATTATTAATTACCATTAATTAATTAGTGAATATCTCTCAAACTTCTCAAAAAATTCAGTTTTCTAAAGATTCTGAAGAATGAATTAATTTTGAACTTCTCATTCGATTATAAGAGCACATATGTATCTAAGGTTTCATAGTTTATCTAAGTCAAGTATCATGTCTTTTCACTATAAACTTGTTGTCACTTAATAGATCTTTCATATAAAAATCGATGTAAATTTCACAATAAAGTATTGAGTACTTTGTGCTCTGCAACAGAAAAATATGTTTTCAAAGATGTTATAACTATAAAAGAAACATTGTTCAAAATCGCAAAATATGCATTATTCCATTGCGAAATTTACAAGTATTTTTATGCCGAGTGTACGATCAATTACGAGTTTATTCAGTAGATATCATTTTTATTTAGCACAACGAGTTTATAGTGAAAAGACATGATATTTAATGCACATAAACTATGAAATTTCAGCTACATTTTATCAAAACTCACATATCAATAATTCAGGAAAAAAAGGTCATCTGTGATAGAAAAATAAAGAAACAATTAGACCAATTAACTAAACCATATGAAAGGTTTCCTGTTAGAGAATAGTAAAATAGAAAATAAAAGTATAAAAAATTTGCTGTTTGTGATTAATTAAGATTTTAAGAATGACAGTTCAAGATTGAATGTTAGTCAAAATATTAAAAATTCTTAACATATATTAACTAATATCCTTCAACAAAAAAAAGAATCTCTTGTTTTTTATACACAGACGTGTTCATATATCTGACAGTACATTACTTAGTTTGGGCGGTGAATATGAAGTTGAAGAAGCTCATGGACATGAACGTGATGCTTATATTGCTAAATTAGGTATTAAAACATATTTTATCATACCACGTGATGTACCAAATACACAAAATCAATTTATGATGAAGTAGGATAGAATATAAATTTTTCATATTGTTAAAGTTTTTATATTTTCTAGTAGTAGTGATACACGTAAATCAAGTAAAAAAATGCAAAAATTATTGGATACATGGTCAAATGAAACACCATTTTCTGCACAAGGTCTTGCTGATAGCGAGAAAGTTGATGCAGCAAAAAGTTTTATACTTCTCGAAGATAATTTAAAACCATTAGCAACTTCATTTTCTTGCTTGTAAAAATTATCAAAAAAAAAGGAAGAATTTCTTTGAATTTTCGATTTTTATTTTTTGTAGCAATCGTCGACGAAGTACAAATGGTCTTAAACCATTTACACTTGAATTTAATAAACAAGCAAGTAAAGCACAAAAAGTTTTAGATGATGATGAAGAAAATAGAACAGCTAGTGAATCATTATATCGTTCATTACCAGAATTATGTTATCGATATTATGTTATTAATGCAGCTTGTGTTTTTCTTGCTATTTTAGTTATTCAAGCATTGATTTTAGAAAAGTATTTTCAAACAAAAAAAAAAAAATTCAATTGCTATTTAATATAGATCTTTTTTATTATAATAGAAATGCTCTTTTTCTTATTTTGATGATTTTTGGCTTATGTGCATTTGGTATAGCAGCATTTCTTTGTGTACTTGACCTTTCAAAAGTTTGTGAATTAATTTTACTAAAAGAAAAACAAAATTTCTTTTTTTCGTTTTTCTTTAAGTTACAGCATGACAATCATCGTTCTTTATTAGAACAACCAACTTATTTAGTAACACATTATTATTTTATTCGTTCACCTGTTAGTCTTATATTAATTGCTATTTGTATTTTAACACCATTTGCTATATCATGGCCAATGCCAAATGATTCTATCGAACAATATATGAATACAACTGTTGTGACAAATATTTCATTCACAAAAAATATTGTCAATCAAGTAATATATATTTTCTTAATTGTAATACATATGAAAAGAGAAAATAGTAAAGTTGATGAGTCTTGAAATTTCTTGATAATTAGGCAAACGAATACAATGCAATTATGTAATAAATGTCTGAAACAAACCTATTATCTATCCTTAAGTTTACATTAGAATGTAAACATAAGAACCTTGGGAGCAAGTACAAATGTAGAAACTTTGAAATTTAGGGTTGGAGAACTTTTTCGAAATTTTAGACGAATAGAATATAGGATGGACTGTAAACATTTTTACAATAAAAATTTTTGAATATCTTTCCTCTGTTCGTAGGTATTGAGCTTAGAGGATATTTAAAGGTTTTTTCTTATAAAAAAATCGTCAATAAACACTGCTTTCAATTATCAACATTCAATTCAATAGAGTAGTGTAACATTTACTACTTATAGAGATTTATATAAATATATTCATTTATGCATGGATTCTTTTTCTTCCGACACATATATTCGATTGTCTCTTTCGTTCTGTCATTCGAGTTTAGCTTTTCTATAATCTTAATAATGGTGAGAGTGTGAGTGCAGATCTTCTACTCTCTGACAGCCACATCATGAAAGACTGCAAGGTACATATAGGAATATACATGAGTTATTCTCGCATTTCTTGTTTCTTTTCCAAATCTATGCTATTATTGATGAAATAATCAGTCCAATATCTTCTAGTGGAATGGAAGTAATTAAACTTTCTATTGTAAAAAATATTTATGATTAATCTTGTATAATGGAATGCTCACAGCATAGCAATGAGAGCGAGATGTGGGATCAAAAGGAACTAGGAATTTTCAACAAAGTTGAGAGAATCCGTTGAAATGCCAAAAGGTATGTGATGAGTCGGAATCTATGACTTGGGACCAGAATTTTGTGCTCTTTCAGAATATGGTCTTGTTGGACAAAATTTTTCAGCACATTTTTTGTATTTTCACTAATCGTTTCGATTCGAAACGAAAGTTGAGATGTTTATTTATATACGAGCTTGTAGATCAGAAGCTGCCCTACAAGATGCACTATTTCAGTATTTGTTTGTTTTTCAACAAGACTACTCAATGTTCTTTTTTTTTCGTAACTGCTTTTTTTGACCAAAACCTTTGTAAGTTCAAGGAACCTCTTGATAAAATGGTTGTGGCTTCATTTGAGTAAAATCTACAGCTTATTTCAACATCAAATATTGTAGAGAAGCATCGCCTTTACAAAACAACCGACACCAATAATTTTTAGCATGTCCGAAAAGAAACTTATAGGTAAACAAAAGCCTGTTGAATCACTATTAAATATAATTTAAAAAGAGCACAAAATTCTGACCAAAATCTATGTATTTTGGCTCGACTGACATGCTTTCGGGCAGACCAAAATGCATAAATATGTTCACCGGAAACTTCAACCCACAAGCTTTGTTCTAACTAATTTTTTTTAGAGTCATAGATTCCGACTCATCGCAAACGCTTTCTAGCGGCTTAAAAATGGATAAACATTTTGTCCAAAAAAATTTTGATCACTTGTTAGTTTCTGGCTTGATGAAACAGTTCTTTTTCGAGAATTTGCTCTAGTAATCAGTTCGTTTCATACAAGTTGCGATATTGAATATTTGATGTTTTCCAACCTCTTCATTTATTCCAGTACATTGATACAATTCAGTTACACATGATCCGAAGTAGATAAAATGAAATGTTCGTTCATAAACAAAGAACTGGTTTTCAATTCCAGTTCTATGATTTGATCGAAGTCTGTAACATATCTAATTTATAATTGTTTGTTCTTGAGAATTAATTACAGCATTAGAAAAGTAGTCGAATGGCTAACGCATGTGTTTAACTCACAATGGAGGTATGTGTGTTGATAAGTGAAAAGATGGCACATATTCG